GTAAGCTCTGACTCCCATCTCCACACACCCATGTACTTCTTCCTCTCCAACCTGTCCATAGTTGATATTTGTTTCATCTCCACCACTGTTCCAAGGGTGATTGTGGACATTCAAAGTCACTGCCAAGTCATCTCCTATGTGGGCTGCCTGACACAAATGTCACTGTTTATAATATTTGGATGTATGGATGACATGCTTCTGGCTGTGATGGCAATTGACCGGTTTGTGGCCATCTGCCATCCCCTGTACTACCATGTCATTATGAATCCAACTCGCTGTGGGATGTTGCTTCTAGGGTCTTTTCTCCTTAGCTTTGCAGAATTGCAGTGGCACTATGTAGCAATATTCAATTCTTCCAAATGTGAAGATTTTATTGAAATTTACAACTTCTTCTGTGACCCTTCTGAAGTCCTTAAACTTGCCCATTTTGATACTGTCACCAATGTCATAGTCAAATTCAGTATAGGCACTGTCTTTGGGTTAATTCCTATTTCAGGAATTGTTTTCTCTTACTTTAAAATAGTTTCCTCCATCATAAGATCACCATCATCAAGTGGGAAGCACAAAACCTTCTCCACCTGTGGGTCTCATTTGTCCATTGTTTGCCTGTTTTATGGAACCGCAATAGGAGTGTACCTGAGCTCCTCTTGGTCACATAATCCAAGAGGCAATGCAGTGGCCTCAGTGATATACACTGTGGTCACACCTATGTTGAATCCCTTCATCTACAGCCTGCGGAACAAGGACATTAAAACTGCCTTAAGGAAGATTCTTAGCAGAGCATTATAATCACTGATACTCTTTATAAATTTACACACACACACACACACACACACACACACACACACATACACACACGCACATACATGCACAAACTGTACATGTAAATCCCAGTTATTGACTCATGCATTATTACTAAATGATATGTCACAATATTGCATGATAAAGTGGTGGTCATTGAGGTTGTATTATGGTGGATGGGTTGTTTTAGAAATGCACAAAAATTGAAGTTGGGGAGATGAAACTTTTCTAGAGACGAATGGTGCACATTATTGAACAACACCTCACAGTATGAATGAGAGCAACACCTAAATGCTGCTCATAAGTCAATTTAAAGTGGCTAGTCTGCTGAGATTGTGTTTTAGAAATGACAGATAACCAGTCTTGTCAACCAGGCTGCCTTGAACAGGCCATGAATAAGGAAGAAATGAATAGACATGATTATGTGGAAGGGGAAAGCTCAGTATACCTCATCCTTAGATATCCTAGACCTGAAGGTTTCACTTGGATTTTCTCTCCCATTGATCCTGAGGATAGCTTGAGACAATGATCAATGGTGGATGTTAGATATGAGCCCCTCTACCTGCCTCTCTATCTCCCAGAAATCAAGCTAACTCTCCTGTAGTCTGTCCTCTATAAAGACAACCTTGCTTTGAGTACTCAGGCTGGGGTGGGTGGGTAAGTGGATGAGGCGAGAGCAATCCAGTTCCCCCTCCTTACAATAGCAAGATAAATTCATGATCCTACTCAGTACATGAATCTTCCATTTCCCTTGGCATGCTGGTTAGATTTTCCCATATAGAGTCAACATGAAGAAGGAGCATCCATTGAGGAAGAACTTCCATTACAAGTGTCTGTGTGTCATTTTCTTGAGTGATGATTGATGTGGGAGGGCACAACCCACTTCAGACTGTGCTAAACTTGGGCAGGTGGTTCTTGGAGCTATAAGAAAGGTCCTTGAAAAAGAGGTTAGAAACAAGGCAGTAAGTAGGTTTCTTCCATGATTTCCACTTCTGTTTGAGTTCTGACACGAGCTTCAGTCAATGATGGACTGTGATTGGGATGTATACATCAAATAAACTGTTTCCTACCCAAGTTGCTTTGGTCATGGCATTTATCACAGCAGTAGAAAGCACTAGGACACATGGACACTGTGTCTGACCAATGAAATGGTGAGGGACTTCCTACCCCCAGACAAACTATTCAAGTATTAAACATTTGTTCTGTAGGATATTTCGGAGGGCCACTGAGGGGCCTATCTTTCCCTTTTAGAACTCACATCATGCTGTACAAGGCAGGTGACTTTCCTCCTCTCCCACATCAAGCTCTCTACCTTCACAGCCCCACCAAGCTTCCTCTGGTGTGAGGTCCTTTGAATGCACTCCCACTTCAAGGTCTGATCATGTCCCCTTCCCACTATGGTCACAAGACTATCTCCTAATGGGGCAAACTTGTTTCAGCTCCTTTCTTGAACCTGCTGCCCTGACATTCTGCTCTCTGATTTATAACAGTGAAGGACTGGGAAAATATCATTTTCCAATCCATGCATTGGGATTTGTGGCTGTGTGGAATTGTCTCCAGTTGATTTCCTGTGAAGGAGTTTGCCTTCCTCCAGAATGAGACAGAGTGAGAGCCTAACCTGGGGATGCACTGATGGGATTATTTGTGGTCCACAGCTGTTAACTTTGACTGACTTTGTTGTTAATGCATGGTTACTCTATTTAGAGAGATAGCCTTGGATGAAGAAATGTACTTAAAGTGGAAAATTTATAAAAGTAAAATAAAATTGTGAATTTAACAGTGATTCAATGGCATTTGTTCTTAATGTACTGATCCTGGTCTTAGTCCACTAATTTCCTGATCATTGGAGATCACAAATGTTACCAGAGGGAATGTGCCCTCTGAAAATTATATGTACACTTGAATGTAATACTATATAATAAACAGTATGTCTTTTAATTCACACCAGTATTTTGAATTACATTTGTGAAGGCTTTTCTGTCATAACCATTGTCAGTGAAACAAATTAAAATAGGATTTTAATCTTCTCTTCCTCCTTTCCCTCATCATTTTCATCTCCAAATAGAGCTTGTTAACTGATTTGGAAATAAAATAATTACAATTTTTTTTAAACTTTTTCTTTTTGTGTTTTTGAAATAGGATTTCTTTGTGTAACAGCCCTGGCTGTCACAGAACTCACTTTGTAGATGATGCTGGCCCTGAACTCATAGAGATCTCCTGCCTCTGTGAGGGCCTTTTAGGTGTTAGTGGAGGCACTGCTGGGCTAAGAAGCCAGTAAGAGACCTTTTGAGGACCAGAGGTCAATCTCAACAGTGGGATTCCCTGAGAGTCAAAGATCTCTCTGGCATATATCTCGAGATTGAATCTTGGTCTTCAGATTGCCACACCAGAAAGAAATAGATTTCTGCAGACACAGAAGAGCACATTCATTAGAATTTAACAACACAAAGCAACAACAACTTCATCAACAACAAGAGAACTACTAAAGAGAGCCCAAACTGAGATAAAATGGAAAATGAAAAATTTAGGACCTCATACTTAATGCATTGATATCATCTCTTCTGCTTCCTCCATTAACAGCAGGAATTCCTTAGAGACTGCAATATTTTGAACCACCATGAGTAATCACCAGCTCTGTGCATTGATTTTCTTAGGTTTTGTAAGAATAATTAGTTAGCTTGTCCCTCCTGGTCATCAGCTTAATCTGTGTCATCCGGGACTATATATCCCTGTTTGCTCTTCCTACAGTGTTATTTCTGCATCAGGAAGCTCTTGCTATTATATTCACTTCAGGATTCAAGTAAGCCTTCACCAGCCAACAAGCAAGGAATGTTTGCCATATCTACAGCCTTTCATCATGGCCACACAGACCCACAGTTTAGTCATGTAAGTTCTGAGGGAATTGAGGATGAAGAAGAGATGACAAGAATTATTTTTCTTTCTAATCATATGAACTGTGATAATTTGGGTAGCCTGATGGTATAATAACGGTAATAAAATATTTAAGTCTCTGTACTGGGATCATATGTTCTTAGTTGAGATGGTAGTCCTCAAATTCTCATCGGACTATCCCCAGTGTCTCTTCTGCATACTCCTATGACCAAAGAGAGCAGCAAATATGTCCAACTAAGTTGTTTTATATGCAATCTAAAGTACTGTGACATGGTGGTGAGGGTGATTTTGTAACTATAGATTTGAAGAAAGCTACTATGAGTGTGTAACACTTAAGGTCTTCCCTGGTGGAGATCTGAGCTCTATATTTTATGTATCTTACTTCATCTGAATAGTTTTTCAAAGTTCCAAAATTATAAGCTTCTGCCTAATTATTAATTTATAGAAAGTAAAAGACAAAGACAGTGTTTCTGTGTAACATGTAGTAGGTGGTCAGGTTGAAATGCGTGAAGTCTTGTGTTAGTTACTTTGCCTGAGTAAAACACAAAATGATCTTTTCTGTGAACAGTCATTTCATGATTTATTTATGATTTTATTCCAGAAAAAAGGCCCATGTCTTCTTTCCCGTGTGGTTTCTAGATCTTTTATAATGGAATGTTTAGTTCTGCTGTGTGAATTGCGGGTAGTATATTTGAGGTACATTTGGAACAGTCTCAAAACAATGAAACAATAATTCAACTCAGGCTTTTCTAGTTCCCTTGGTCCATACTTGGCCTCACCCTCTGAAGTGCTGGATTTACAGGTCTACAAAGACTGTGTTCTATTTTCCTGGATATTTTTGTTGCTGTCAGCATCCTCCATCATTCTGAATCTCAGCCAGTAATTTTTCATGAGGAAATGCGATCAGATACCTATATCATTTGTAGTTTGAAAACATGAGCGCTTAAAAAAAGATATGTGCTGTTAAGACTTCTGAATTTTTTGTTAAAACCATATGATTAGTAAAATGAAAATAATATATACGTTAATGAAATAACAATGAATGTGTACAACAGCTGTGAATGTGAAGTAGAGTGGGGTGAGTTATATAGAGGGTTTTGAGAGTGAAATGGAAGGAAGTATATATATGTTATATTATCATTTTACTATAATTTGAAATATAAAAATAATCAAATAAAAAAGTAACACCAGACCAAAACACTCCTGATTAAAAGAATGACACA